AGTACGGGTGCTCTTACTTCGGGAAACTTGAGGAGCAGGGCATCTATGGGCGAGTTGGCTATGGTGACCTTATGGCAGTGAAGGCTTGCCAGGACGAGAGTGTCACCAGCTTGACTTCAGAGATTGAAGAATGCTTCGAGGTGATCGAAGCAGTGATGCGTTTCGAGCCAAAACGTGAATTTACAGTTTTGTTGCTACCAACTGCGAAGAACTACAATTCCTGTGGCAGCCTGCAGAGACCCACATTGCGCAGTTGGAGCTCTCCATGGTAATTTACACCTTGAGTGAGAGCCCTGGCCTTCTCCGCCATCGACACGGTCTATGGTTCCTCGACGCTGTGGCTGCAGTCATGACCTTAGTGAGGGGACGTTCTAGCAATTCGGACCTAGCAAAGCTAGGCCATCTGATTCCTTTGGCCCTCTTCGCACTGCGTGCCCAGGGCTACTGGGAGTACGTCCAGAGCAAGAGCAACTGGGCCGACGACTTGGTGGCGCTGCCATGGATCTAGCTTTCATTCGTCGTACCTCCCCACAATCTTTTCCAGTTGCCATTCGTTGCAGTCATTCTCACCTTTGAATTCCTCTAGTGCTTTGGGTGTTTGAGTGCATTGGGTGATACCTGCAAAGGCAGGTCCCAACCTGGGGTGACCAGGTTGCTGACCAGAGGTGATTCGGTCTGGGGCTATGTGCGAGTCACATTGTGACACATCCAAAGCAAACCTGAGGAGAGCAGGTGAAACAGACTGAACTTTGGTAGGTGGTTGAAAAAGAGCTGTGCGCGGAAGACGTGGTGAGTTCTTCATATGTCACTTTGAGATGTATTCATGCATTGAGTTTGGCAGGCTTGGGTGTGCATGTGTCATCTTTAAGTGAGTCAATGAATGCTTTCATTTTGGCTCAAGTGGAGCTGAGCCAAAATAGCATTCATTGCTGTTTCTTTCCCCACCCTCCCAACCCTAAGAGCCGACCTCCCGTGGAGATGTCCGCCTAGGTTAGGGGAGCCTGCATGGCAGGCGAGTACATAGCCTCTTTCGGGGATACTCTTTTGGGGCGACCAAAAGAAACTTCCCTCCCTTAGGTTAAGGGACGGGTGATACCTGCAAAGGCAGGTCCCAACCTGCGGTGACAGGTTGCTGACCAGAGGTGATTCGGTCTGGGGCTATGTGCGAGTCACATTGTGACACATCCAAAGCAAACCTGAGGAGAGCAGGTGAAACAGACTGAACTTTGGTAGGTGGTTGAAAAAGAGCTGTGCGCGGAAGACGTGGTGAGTTCTTCATATGTCACTTTGAGATGAATAATAATAATAATATATATATATTATAAATTATATATAATAATATATTATGTATAATAATAATATATATAATAATAATACATATAAGAATAATATATATAATAATATATAATAATATATATAAAATATATAATAATAATAATCAAAATAATAATAGTAATACTAACAATAATATTAATATATATATAGTAATAATATACATAATAATATATATAATCATTTAAATTAGTATATAATAATATAATATAATGATATATAATAGTAGTAATAATAATAATATATACAATAGTATATATAATAATAATATATATAATAATATATAATATATATATAATATAATATATATATATAATAATATATATAAACTAATATATAATAATACATATAATAATATTTAATAACAATAATAACAATAAGTAAATATATAATATATATAAAATATAATGTATATATAATAATATATATATAATAATATAATATATATATATAATAATATATATAATAACATATATAATAATATAATATATATAATAATATATATAATAATATATATAACAATATATTTAATAATATATTATATAATATATAATATATTATATAATATATAATAACAATAACAATAATAATAGTAATAATATATATATATATATTATTTATGTCTTGGTCACCCGACATTGGGCACAGGTGCTCTCCTGCAAGAACCAGCTTGCTGTTCCCAAGGTTGGATGCAAAGAGGACAGTCTAAAGCTGCTGTAGCTGCTGTAAGCTGCTCAAGTCTTGGGAGGATGTCGAAGGTACACTGAGAATCAAACCGAGCTCTGTAGGTCGAAGATGAGAATGCCCCAGTCGTACTGCAGAAAGAGACTGAGAAAGAGGTGCGGGAAACAAAGCTCTACAAACTGCAAACAGCGCAAGAAATTGGCAAAGTCACACACTGTGGAACCAGTGGAACCAGTGGAACCTCTACCTATCTCTACCTTTTTGACAGATCTGTTAGACGAAAAACTTCTCCAGGATGTGGGTTTTGCTTTTTGGTGAGACTGTCAAATGAGGGCCAAGACATTCCTTTGATATCGTAGCTACCTCTTCAGCGTGAATTCTGCAATGATGGACCTCCAATTGCTTCTGCTTTTATTTGTCTCTGATTTCTGTCTCTTGAACTGGGCTGGGTAATTGAGTTCGTAGGTGCTTCAAATGATTGCCTCGCATCCAGCGTTGGCGCGCTTGAAGGGCGCACCACTAGTCCCCACTTTAGCACTGAGCGTGCTGCCTTGACATGTGGTTGACTGAATTGACGCTACAGTAGCTTGTGTATGTTTTTGTGCTCTGAGGCATTGATTGAGCTTGCAAGTGACATGGGTCACCTTACACTCACAGACTTGGCCTGCGCAGGCTTTTACTGGATGACAATTGATAGACTTTAAGATCTTGGGATCTTCAACAGTTGAGTCAGTTGATCTTGATCTGCTTGATCTGCTTGATTTGCTTGATCTGACTTTGTTGACTTTGGAGGTCATCACCACCGGACTTCCCAGCACGGTGCTTAAAAGGAAAGTTATAGGGAAGTTTCGGTGAGAGTATTTCAAAGTTTTTTAAAGTGCAGCTGGGTCCCAGTTATCGCAGACCTCGGCAGATCTCGGCAGATCTCCGCAGCTGACACACTGCACTCACACTGCTTTCCTATGCTTTCCTTTTTGAGGTCGCCGCAGCCGCAGTTGCCACCTGCTGGGTGAGATGGCACCGCTTTGCATGATGAATTTCCAGTGCACCCTGCTCCACGGGTCACGGAGAATCAGCCTTTTGAGGCATACGTAACGAGTTTCACAAAATGCCGAATCCTTGGAAATCCCAGGTGCTTGAGAGATAGTTCTGTAGAGTCTGTAGAGTGTATAGCAAAGCCGCGCTTCAATGCAGCCAGTCTTTCATGGCTTGTCCCGTGCAGTTGCAGCCCAGCTTTGCGAAACTTGCGATGTGAGCAATTTTGAGATGGTCCCCAAGCGGGCAAATGCAAGACTTTTCTAAAAAGCTGGGCAGCGCAAGCTTTCAAGACGCTGTATTGACGCTGGCAGAAACAGTTGAGCCCCGAAAACTACAAAAAGGATCGAACTGGTTTTTGCTTTGCTGAGAAGCATTTGATTCCGTGCGCTGAATCGGAGCGGAGTTTCTGAATGTGCTTTCTGTTCGGTTATATATATATATATATAAATACATCAAAAATTACCACAGGAAAGCGTGCAAACTCAAGATATGACTAGAACATACTAGAACATACTAGAACCTCGAAGCCTCGGAAGCCTCGGAAGCCTCGGAAGCCTCGGAAGCCTCGCGTGAGAGGGGGTGACTTGCACCAAGGTTCCTGAATTGGGCCAAGGAGCAGTTTTGCTTCGGGCTGCTCAGTGCAAGGAAGATGGTGTGAGATGACACGATAGTATTGTAATTGTAATTCAGGTATTTTATATGGAATTATAGGGCATCTAACATACATACGTAGTACCACATCAAATCTCTATCTATCTATCTATCTATCTATCTATCTATCTATCTATCTATCTATCTATCTATCTATCTATCTATATATATATGTATAATTATATTATGCATATATTACTGTATATATTTTTGGATATTATGTTTTGTTCAGTTCAAGGTTGCTGCAGTTTATTTGTCCTCCAATGCCATTTATCCCTACTGTGACAAGAGCCAAGAGCCCCGCGTGTTGGCAGCTCAGGTTGATAAGTTTGCCTTTAGCCACATGGCATTGGGCTATCTCATGAAAGGCAGTGGGGAACACTTTGAAAGTGGACAGCCTCTAACTCCGGAGATCCTCTGTTCTTGACAGGCTTCACAAGGACGTTCAGTGCTTATCACAACTTCTACAAATTCCCGGAGGAGACAACATTTCCGCACTGCCAGTTTCATGTGAGCATTTTCTGCATAATCTAAAAGCGATTCTGGCCACGGGTTTTGAGAACCAGCTAAGACGTTTGCGAAACTCTGCCAGGACAACCTGTACAGATCTGCTTGCTGGGGCTTTGGTACTGTCATGGAGTCTACCCACGAGAAGGCTTTCGGCCTTTGCTTATTGAGATCACATGTCCTTTTCTGTGCCAAAGCACCCGACACAATATGCCAATGCACGAAATGTTTACGAGGCAGGACCACCTGTAGCAATCGTTTTTGGTATCGGACTTGCATCTACTGACGTTTTGCAGAGACATCCATTCCTTGAGCTTGGAAGTTTGTGTGTTTCCGATGATTTCAGCCAAGACTGTCAGCTTTTGGTAAGCTTTGCTTACCATGGATGCATGGATGCATCACATCAGCATTTGTAAGCCAACTCTGCACATTTTGATATGTACTTTACAATGTACTTTGTTTGACTGAGACTGACACTACCTTCAGCCCCACTCTTTCGAAGGAGCCACCCCTCAAGAGTAACTTCCTGAAAACAGTTGCTTTGTGTGTCAAAGAGTTGCGCAAGAAGGACAGTGACTACAAAGGGGCCTAGCGACTCCAGTCACATTGAGAGAGAGTGAGGAACAGATCAGGTGCAGACAGAATTGTGGCACAGAATGAGTCAACTGTTCTTCTTTGGTTTTCTCTGAATGAGAGATGATATTTACCCATTTTTACCATTTTTCTTACTCCACTATTTCTCCAAATTCTAAAGCCAAGCTGATCCAACTTACAGCTTTCATTTCGATATCGCGCTGCTTGACCTTGAAGCCATGGCAGCGGACAAAGAGGCTCGGCTGCAAAGTCGTATTCCGATTATGATATTTGCTCGTGACAATGACATGATATGCTGTTTTTGCTCAGAAGTTCACTCCTCCCAGGTTTTGTTGTGGGAAATCTGGCCATAAAACCAATCATTTTGCCAAAGCTTGCATACCGTCGGTATCTGTCGGTATGAAGTATAAAGAGCACCCATTCTTTCATGTTGTCATGGTCAGAACACAGGTTATTCTCCTATAAAAAGGGGATGGTCTGATGGTCACCCCCCCCATAGGGATTACAGTAATATACCTGTCGTAAGAGATCCCCAATGGTGGGATGACCATACCATGAAATTGCTCACCCTGTAGTTGATCCCGTTGGGAGCCGCCACAGGGCATTCCTGGCGCAAAACCTGCCGCTTCCACAACCTTCTTCAAGGGGTTGTCGCTAACTCGGCTAGAGATGGCTTTGGGTTAGGGAAGTTTGCGAAAGAAATGCTCCTTTGGATGGCGGCTGTGTGAAGCTGGGATTGACCTGCCCTCTTGCGAAAACACACCCTTAAAGCATACAGTAGTAAACTTACTGTAGGTAAAATCAAAGTGCAAATGGCCACGTGCGTTGTTTTCTGTGGAATGTGGACTCGGTCTCTTCCACATTCGATATCATTGGATGAGACAAAAGGGGACTGAATGGAACTGTTGCACCGGAGTTGTTATGGCTACTTGTGCACCAAGGCAAGGCAATACATTGCACAGAGGAGCTATACAGGCCGCTTTGCTGACCATTTTGTCTCCAAACTGTTTCCAACTCATACTGATCGGTAACTGATCTTTCACGAGTTCGATCCATCCTGTCAGGCTACAATGCCCATGCAGCTTGAAGCCGTGCTGGCAAAGCGCGAGAGGGCGGAAAGGGAACACATGCCTGCTCGGCCTCCGAATGTATTCGTCGACGGTGTGTACGTGAGAGGCGGGGCCAGATGAATCGGAAGTGTGACATTTTGCTGCCTTGGTATTCTTTGCATTTCTTTGCAGGGTCTGCAGATCCCAAGCAGAAGCCTCTGTTGCGGCACGTCATCGTGAAGGACCTCAACAAGGTTGGAAGTGAAGTTCTCCCACTGGAAAATTCTGCTCTTCATTCTGAATGATGTGACGCCTGAAAAGCTAGGTAATCGTTGTTACGTTTCCATGTATCGCAACAAGTGCTGTGCTAAACAAGTACCCAGTACCAGCACAGGGCTATTGCGCGCTGCGCGGGAGTAAAACACTTGAAGACTGCACATGGATCAAGATAACTTGCAAGTTAAAGGAATGCAAGCCGCAAATCATTGTGCCGAACATGAACAAGTGCTGACAGTGTGTCATGTCGTACCGACAAGCATAATCAACGGACCCGGATGTGTACTGTGAAATCATCATCCATGTTTTGATTTAAGAGGTTACGGATATCGTGTTTGTTTCATTTGAGATGGTCACCAGCGGTCACCATGTCTTGTGGTACGGATGTTCAAAACCTGTGACCAAGGACTGCCTTGTGGGTGGGACTAAATTTCTTTCTTACACTTCACGTTGTAGCACCCTTTGCTACGACTGACTACTGGAGAGTTCCCGCTACGCAGCACTTTCACCAAAGGGGCACGAAGGATGTGCAACCATTTGCCTCAGTGTTTTTGTTTAAGGGTATATAAGAAGCATTCCATTTTAAAAATGTACGAGAAAAGATAAAGTGCTAGAAACATCTGGAAACCATGTATGTGAGAGTATGTGAGTAGAGCGGACCTTTGCGGTGAGAGCTTGCAGGTTGCTACACAACTCAAGTATGAGGTTCCAACGAGTGGCCTTTTCGAAAAGATCCTTGCTCCTCATTGTCTTAGTACCCCAGACTTTTTTTGCTTGCTCCTTCTGCCAGCAATGGTTGTTTTTTGTTTCTGATTTGTTTTGTGTTTCAATAGATTTGGATACTATTTTGAGCCTGGCAACTTGAGGTGACCTTATTTTTGATGATCCTCTTCCCTAAAATCCAAGGGCGGTCGATGTTGGCTTAGGATGTTTTGATTTTATCCAGGACATTCCAGGACCCCCAGGGTGCTGCACGAGGGGAACGGACTGCCAAGTCTCAGCCTCTGAGGAAACCACCCATGGGCTTATATTGCATTTTCGATGGGGTAGCCGGCGGCGGGACTTCTGGAACTGGACCTTCAGTTGCCTCCATCGCCGAGCTTCTTGGATGACGCAAATACTCCACAAAGTGCCCTGGACAACAGACGTAAATATATGGGGTATAAGTAGGCGTGCTCGAATTACTTGAATTACTTGAAGTAATAAGCACATGAAATGCAATGGAGTGAAGCGAAGGAGTAATACAGCAGGAAAGGAGTAAGGGAAGAACGAGACTGTGTTTAGGACCATGGCCAGGCAAAAAAGCAGGCTCCAATTCCTCCCCATGACTTGACAATATCCTGCCAAGTCGAGAAATGGAACTGCGACCTCGGAGCATCTCAGGAAGGTGCCGTCTATCATCACACTTCACGGGGTGAAGCCACTGGAAATTTACCGTTTGTATATCACTCCCTGAAATCCTGCTACAACCTGGTACGTATGGCCAGGTGAAACAGTATTTAAACAAAGCGAACGCATTCACAGTCAGTACATGTCAGTACCATCCTCATTAGGAAGTTCAGGCCCCCACCGGTTCCGCCCAGCGACCTGGCATGCTGCTCTGCTCTTTCCGCTTTCCCTTGTTACAGTTTGAATAAACAACTTTCTGGGGAGCAAGACGCATGGCATTTTGACACTGAATCTTGGAGTCTGAGGTTCTGCGCCTTGAATTTCCACATAGCGCTTCTGAACGCTCTTTCAGAGTTGAGGCAGTGACGTAGTCCACGTAGTCCGTGGCTAAATCTGGGTCCTGCCTATGGTGGGTCCTGGTGCAAAGTGGGGCCAAGCCTTGGAGTCACAGCACTGACAGCACTGGACAGCACTGGACAGCACTGGACAGCACTGGGCTCCGATTCTGTGAGGCCGAACTACGTCACCGCAAAGCTGGTTGAGGAGGTGCTCCGAGCAGAACTCACCATGGCGCCTGCAGAAAAGTGGCAACAATTAGAAGATTTACTGTAGAAGCAAGTAAAAAGATTAATTAGTGAAAATAGTGAAAGCGATTTGCACAATTCTGGATGTATCAGAATAGCTGAGGCACTTGCGAGCAGCTTGGAAACTCTCGACCAAGAACTTCTCATAAGGACAATGTGGATGCATGACATTTACATTGGCAGCAACTTTTCAACATTTATTGAGTGGAAATGGAAAGCTTCTTTGGCTCCTGCAGATTGCAGGAATCCAGAAGTTGTTGAAGGTTGCGGAGCAGCAATCGCCTTGCTCGTGCGGGATCCGATGGCTGCACTAGTGTTTAAAAGTTTACAATTTTCCATTGGGATGTGGTTCAGACTTGGCTTTGTGCAGGTACTACACTACTTGTGATTATGTTTTTGTGCAGTGATTGAATGTGGTGGTCGTGGTTGTTGCGTTTGTTGCCGTTGGTGCTGCTTTTTGCTGTTGTGTTCATTGTTGTTTGTGCTCGTGGTGGTGGTGATGGTGGCTGGCGTCGCCGCGCTCTGCTGTAGTCATTGCAATCTCTGACAGAAATTTAACATGGCTATCAAACATGGCGCATTTTAGATCATTTACCTATTGAAATTGTGTTAGCTATGTGTTATTTCAGTTCGTATCGCCCTGGTGAGCCATTGACGGGCATGTCTGAAAATTACTTCCACCCCAACATTTTTGTTTCAACAGGGAAAATTATGATGAGTCAGTGGATTCAGATGGATTTGGGGTTTTCCCTACTGCGTTTTTTCATTGAATGATCTGTGTTTGCGCAACACTTCGAAGACAACATATTTGACAGCCAAGATCGTTGTTGGGCCAATGTGTTGTTGCACTTTTTCCCCAACAGCAAAACTTTGCTGTGGGGTCTTTAGCCCAGATTAGCTCTGGTGCCATCCAGTTCAGCTTCAATACCAGGTTCTGGGAAAGGTTCCGGAGGGTTCCGGAGGGTTCCGGTGCAGATAGCCGGTGAGGTTCCGGAGGGTTCCGGTGCAGGTACATGGTGAGGTTCCGGAGGGTTCCGGTGCAGGTACTCGGTAAGGTTCTGGAAAGTTCGGGCGCAGATGCTTTGTGAAGTTCCAGAGGGTTCCGATGTTTTTTAATGGCATAAGCATGTTATTTTTGACAGAAGCACTTCAACTCTTAAACACAGTATATATGATGCACCCATAGACTTTTAGATTTACTTTGCAGGAGGGGGTGGGCAGGGCGTGGAAAAAAAGAAGTCGATGCATAAATATGGCAGTGTGAGCACGTGAAGATGTGAACGAAACGCAGCAGGTGTCTTGCGCTGTCCACCTTCTGCTCAAGATCTAAGTGGGCCATGCGTTGGGAAGCAGTAGCCCTTGCTCTGCTGACGCAGACTCTTCAGGTAGGTTTGAAATCTAGACCCGAGCCATTTGTTTTGCAGCCTTCTTTGCCGCCTGATCTGAAGACTGAATCCCATTGCCATTGCGCTTGCATTTGCAACACTGCCGATCTTGGGGCAGCATCTCTGGCTGGATCTTTGTTTGGGGGTTGTGCGATTTCTGGTCTCTGGTGGTGCTGCAGCTGTCGGAAGAGGGAGCCTTCTCCATCTCCAAGCCACCGTCGTCGTGGCCATGGCGTTGTTAGCCAGCCCTATCCCTGGTCAGGTGCTGGCGGTCTTCTTTGAAGACGATGTCTATTGGCACGAACGCCTTCTCCTTTGGCGGCACGATGACGATTCATGGTACATCCTGACTCCAGACCTGGACGTCTATGCAGAGAATCTGAGTGGAAGCGGCGCTGATGGGCCGTCCAAAGTCAAGACCAAAGGTGTTGATTTCAGGTACTGGAGCCGGGTTGGTGGGTCTTCCTATAGGCTTGCAAATCCAATCAGCGATGATCAGATGCTTCGCAGCTACATCAAGCAAGCTTACAAGGCTGGCCTGAAAGAAGATGACTTTGATGCAGATTGGCGGCCTGAGCATGTGGTTGATGCGAAGGGAGTGGTTCAGCCTTTTAGTCAGTTTCTGGGCGATCGCCTGGTGTCCCATCGTTTGGTTGGGAAAGGTCCAGCAAGTCGTTTGGGAGGCGGGGTGGTCACGCAGTGCGAGCCTTCGACCTCTCAGCAAACTGACATTGCCACTGTGAGGCCCATTTCTGCGCCAGGCCCTGACCAAACTTGGGTCGTGGTGGAAAACCTGGAAGGCTTCAAGGTGGGCGACTCTGCTGTCTATGATGTGAGCCGAGACCTCATGATCGGAGACCACACAGGGCTTATCAAGGTTAGCTCTGGATGGCTGAAGGCTGAGCTCATGGAGGTGGCCAAGGCAACCGCCCTGCTCGAATCTCGCCGGCCCGTGCAGGAGCCTCCGGCACCGCTCATTCAGCCCACTGTTGAGACGGTATTGGAAGAAGCGTCAGCCGACGCCAGAACCCTCTTGGTCGATTTCGACCATCAGGGGATCCGTTTCAAAGAATGGCGTGCCTTAGTCACTGAGGTCAAAGACTATGCCTACTCTGATTGGCCTTTTGAAGGGCCTGCCACGGTTCTCTACCTTCTGAAACACATGTACAAGCACGGTGGCGACCCCAAACAGTGGCTAGAGCTTTGGTGCCGCCAGAAAGGCATAGCAGACCAAGACCGGGTCAAGCACGAACTTCGTTGCCTCATGGATGTCCTGTACCTTGGCGGAACCTACGATCAATTGAATTTGCCCGTCTTGGCTTCCTTCGAGACAGTTGCCAGGCGAATCCAGTGGATGCCTATGCATTGGGTAGTTCTGCTGCCCCAGACTGGGGCAATGCCAAGCTCTTTACAGGGTACATGGGCCCAGATGACCTGGTGATGCCGCAATTGAAGACTTGGGCTGCCCGGAAGGGCAAGGAAGAAGTGGAATTGCATCAAGCTCGAAACCGAATGAAGGAGCTTCGAAAGCCAGCGAATGTGAGTGAAGAAGCGGCCAATGCTTTGGCCGAAGGTGGCCTGCCGGCCGGGGTGAAAGCCAGACCGAAGCGTGGAGCTAGAGGCAAAGGCTTGGAAGCCCCGGCGTCCTCAACATGACCGGCGGCCCTGGCCACACCTTGAGCCCAGGTGGTGGCCACTCGACGCATGATGATGGGCTCATAGCTGGCTTGCCCACTTTTGCATGTGACCTTTTTCCTCTACCTCGCCCGCCCCCGTTGAAAATGGCGGCTGGTTTGAGTCGAAGATCTAGCCAGAGATTGGCGAGGAAGGTCAGAATTCAAGATGATTTGCGTGAGTTGATCTCTTCGCTGAATTGGATGCATTTTGGTGACTTTGATGTTCAGCCCTCTTGTGCAGCGAACCCCCTTCAAGAAGAAGTGCTGTGCAGACTGGAATCTTTGGTCAGACAGGCGGGCGACTTGGGTCACCAATGTCGTTTGCCTTCACAGGAGGCAGCCTTAGCTGAGCTGCTCCGGGGTCAGGATGGCTATGCTGAGCCTTCCACTCCAGCTTCTCTAGCGCCCTTCAACCTCGAGCTCATCTCCTTGCCCAAAGACTTGTCGGATGCTCCCCGTGCTGAAGATTTGCTGCAGGGTGATGACCGTCGATACCTGGAGGTGCAAGAGCGTATGTTGCGTGGGAATCAGGACGAAGGTTTGGATGACCCTATAAGACCGTATTGGGATCCTGCTCTTAAACATAACCCTCGTAATTATAGGAGGTTTATTCAAAAGTTACATGGGATACAATATCTTGAGTATACTTTGGAGCCTTCACAGTTTGCCGGAGTCTTTTTCGTTTGGGAGAGTGATCGAGAAAGAATCAGAATGATCATTGACGCCCGTCCTGCCAATCGAAGTTTCTTGGACCCACCGGGCATTTCTTTGGCAACAGCGGAGACTTTTGCAAAGTTTGAGGTGGAGCCTGTTGATGGCCAATTTCCTGACGGGTTCAACCTTTTTGCTGGGCTCTCTGACGTCAAAGACTCAAAGATTGTTTTCATAGGATCAAACAGCCTTGGTGGTTGGCTAAGCACTTCTGCCTTTTGCCCATTGAGGCAAGACATGTTGGCCTCACAGGGCACTCTTTGGATGGCAGGGTCCTCAAGTCAAATGATCTGGTCTACCCCATGCCGGGGTCGCTCTGCATGGGGTTTAGCTGGTCACTCTTTTTCGCCCAACGGATAAATGAGGCTGTGATGGAAAACGTGCCCAGCTTGCAGCATTCTTCCCTGGTGCACGACAGAGGCGGGCCAGCCGTTTTCCTCCCTCATTCTCACAGACAGATGAAACATTTTGCGTATGTGGACAACCTCGGCGTCCTTTCGGCGAATCGTGAGGCTGTTGAAGAGGGATTGGCAGACTTGTCAGACGACTTCACGTCGAAGAACCTTCTGCTGCACCCAGGTGAGCTTCAACACAACCCCATCAAAGCCTTGGGTATCCAGTTAGATGGCAGCAACCTCACTTCAAAAGTGGCACCTGACAGGCTCCACCGAGTGAGACAAGGGCTGCGGTGCATTTTGCATCGTGGTCGGTGCACTGGCCGCGTCCTTGAGATCTTAGTGGGGCATTGCACATATTGTGGCCTGATGAATCGATGTTGTTTAAGCATTTTCCACAGTGTTTACAAGTTAATCAAGTCCAGCTATTTTGTTTCAGCTCCTTTGTGGTCCAGCGTTCGCTCTGAACTCAGGGCCTTTGCTGGACTCATGCCTTTGCTGAGATCTGATTGGTGCAGACCCTGGAGTGGTGTTGTGGCTGTCTCAGATGCCAGTGAGGAAGGGTTTGGGGTTTGTGGGGCCGTCTTTGACCCCAAGGTGGTTGCGTCCGTTGGAAGGACCACAGAACGAGACCGGTTTCGCAGAGTCGGGGCCCACAGTGCACGTGAAGCCGCGCTGACATCTGCTGGCTTCATCAAAAATGAGGTCACTGGCAAGTGGCTGGAAGGTGCCTTGGACGATGAGGACTACCTTCACCAGAGCGGTTGGAGCCTCAATCAAGAATTTCCAGAAGTACCCAAAGATTTTTTCCATCCCCATATTTGGTCGACTGCTCGTCAAGGTGCATGGAAACGCCGTGAGCACATTGTCCATTTGGAAGCTCGGGCCCTGGTAAAATCTTTTGAGTTCATTGTCAGTGACATCCACACGTGCAATGCTCGCCAGTTGTTTTTGGTCGATTCAATGAGTGCGGCCCTGGCTTTTGATCGGTGTCGGAGCAAGAATTTCAAGATGTTGCGATGCATTCGACGTTTTTGCTCTCTAGCCCTGGCCCGAAATATTTCGTTTGCAGTTAGGTGGGTTCCTTCAGAGCTCAATCCGGCCGACGAGCCAAGTAGAGATCCGTCA